AGCACGGCTCGGGGCACGGTTTATAATCGGGGCAGAAAGTCATTCGGAGCAGGTTAGGTCCTTACGAGGCTGTATAAGCCAGGATCACTGATGATTTTTTTTTTCTTTTTTTCTTTTTTTTTTTTAAATACAAAAGAATCTTCAGCTGTCCAGGTTAAACTGGCGCTGTTTGGCGTGGGAGGGCGTCACTTTGTCAGCGTGGGGGCTGGCAGGCCACGGGCAGGGTAAGCAGCTCTGCTGCTGCTGAAGGAGGCAGTGGTGTTACTAATGAGGGCAGCCATCAAACTGATGGTGGAAGACCTGCGCTCTGCCAGGTCACGCCCCTGGATGTTTGGGAATTAAGTGGGCATTTCCTTACGCAGCCCCAACAGCAAGAACTGCTTTCCCCTGACCATTCCGCAGCCATGTTGTTAAGTTTGATTTTTAAGGGTGTAAATAAAGATACTGCTTTTATTTGCAGTCTGGCAGAATTAAATTATTTCTCTTTTTAATGGGTTTATAATCACCTCATCTTTCCTACCCAAAACAACAAACTTCAGCTTAGTACTGAGCAGCTTCAAATATTTCTTAAGGAAAAAAAAAAAAAAAAAGCAGCCCACACTCAAGTGGTTTTTGCCAATAAAATATTGCAACCTTTATTTAAAACAAAATGCAAATTGGCAAAACTTTGTGGAACGACAGGCAAAGGGGCCCTTCAAAGGGCCTTATTTACATCAAGTTTAACACTGTTCGCAGTTCACAGTCAGACGATAGTGAGAGAATTAAATTAGAAAAAACAACCAAAATATATTACAATAACAATTAAAAACAAAAACAGTTGACAACACTGGTAGAGTGATTGGTGATTAACGTGTTTCATTTGAATCCATTCCTGCCCTCTACGAGTTCACTACTGATACAAGCAGTGTGCCCAGCCCATCGGGCTTTACCTCCCGCCCGCAACAGACACGTTTGGAAGAACGACCTCCTTTGGTACAGACGTTTCTTAGCATGTGGGTATTGTTAATGTAAGTCAGGTGTCCCATAACCTCTCGCTTCCTACCTCCAGGGAATAGGCTGAAGGTTTTGTTCTACGCTGCAGGCAACCGGCGCGCGCCCCCAGCACCCATACGTGCCAGATGGTGCCGCTCGCGTGGAAGTGGGAGGTTTCCGAGCGCACTGCAGTCGTTACCCTTCGGTTTTCCTACCAGCTACGGGTCAGCCGGCAGGGCTGGGTGTTTTAAGAGAGAGGACAGCAGCCTGGTACGTTCGCGAAGAAAGATCTTCTGGATTCATTAGTGCTCATTACAGCGGCTGCTGCCCCGGAGCACCAACAAGCAAAACGGGGAGTGCCCCAGCCGCTGGGGAAGCCCACCTTAGGTAAGCGGTACAGACATCAGGGTCTGGATTTCTTTACTCTAGGACTGCGTGGCGCAGCCCACCCTACCTGCTCAGGCACCCCCTGCCTTTCAGGGAGGGGCTGCTCTGTCAGCACAGCGGGTTTGGTGCAGCCATTGCCCTGCGCTGTGGGGTTTAGTTCCTGCCACCCGCAGAGAGTGGTGTGCCATAAAACTCTTGCACAAGCACACCTGACGGGATGTCAACATGCGCGTGTGTGACTGTGTCTTTCATTCTGCATCAGCAACGCTGCTCCATTTGATTCCCCTTTCCCAGCGGCTAAATTTGATGCAGTTCCAAGACCCAGATTCTTAATTCAGCTTCACCCCTGTCTGCGCTAATGAAAAATATGATTACATCAAAGTGCTACCACTCAGACAGCTGAGTGCGCGGCTTCTGGGGTTAAAAAGGGTGTACAGTGCAGGAAGAAAAGAGAATTGCACCTGTGAGCCAGCTAATTCCCCGCAGTAGCTAGGAAGAGAAAGTGCCCCGCGTCAACTCGCTCATGTGAGCACATGCTTTGTGCTTGGCATGACCAGGCCCTGCGTGATGCCATCCCCTGCTGCAAAGATGACTACTTCAAATTCTAGCCCATGCTAGTGCAAGTGAGCGAGCCTGGCTGCGATTGCATCCTTACCGCGCGGGGCCACCTGCCAGCGCTGGGGAAAGGAAACACAGCAGGAAGGAGTTTATGCCTCGTCCCTACCCTAAACAGTGGGGCAAGAGGTGCTCTTCACTGGGACAAATAACGGGGCTCTGCCATCCTTACGTTACTTTGAACATCCTGTGCAAGGCTGAAAGCAGAGATGCTGCTACAGGTAGAGACCTTTAAGGCTGAACAGAAAGCCAAACCTAGCAAAAGGGTGGGGGGGAGGGAGGGAGGGAAGGGTAACAATTTTAGGAGCATGGCTGTGGAAGGAAAAACAACTGCGCAGTGATTTACAGCAGACCCAGCTTTCCCAGTCACCACCCTTCTGCCACCCTGCCAGAGGGCAAGGGAGAATTCCAGTTTGGGAGTAAAACACTGTTGGGCAGCAGAAGCAGCAGCAATTCTGCAGCCTCCTATTCAGGGGGAGAAAAAAAAAAACCACCACCTAGTATTGAGTCAGCACCACCTCTGCCACCCTCCACCTACCTGGCATAAGATGATGGGTAAGAGCAGAGCAAACGTTCTCCATAGGAGCAATGACAGGCAGATCCCTGAATTCCACTGCGTTTTCCCTCCACCGGAGGGATCAGAACTGAATGGGCTTCTGTGTTGCCCACAGAGGTTGTGGAGTCTCCATCCTTGGAGATACTCCCGAGCCCTCTGGACGCAGCCCTGGGGGGTGGCTGTAGGTGGCCCTGCTGGAGCAGGGGGGTTGGACCTGGTGACCCCCTGTTAGGATCCATAGCTGGCTATTCAGTCTCCCACACCCCCAGCGGTCCCTGCCAACCTCAGCCATTCTGTGACAGCAGCAGGGCTGCTCCGGCTGCGTTGCTGCCCACCACCCCTCACCGCTGCGTGGGGCAGGAGAAACCAGGCGGCATCTGAAAGGAAGGGGGAGGGGATGGGCCAGCGGAGGGGAACCGGTCCTTCATTGGGGCACAGGTAGTGTCTTCAGAAAGGGCTGAGAGAGGGGAGTTTTAGAAATTCCATTGCTATTCTATCACATTTTTGCTGGAGCTTTTCTGGAAGACTGGCATTCAGGAAAAGAAAAAGGCTTTTTTTTTTTTTTTTCCCAAACATTTATCAGAATCGGACTAAGATCCTTAAATTTTTCTGGTTAAAATACCTTTCCCCTGAGAAGCACTTCAGTTTCAGTCCGTTTACCCTAGGCTGAGCAGTAGCACAATGACAAAACCACGTGATTGTCTGCCAGGACAAACCAGACCTGCCCTTCTGCCCCGAGGAAAGCTCCCATACCTTTTCAACCCTTCTGATCGTTTAAAAGGCCACATGAAGCAACACCACAAGCCTTCTTCCCTTTGCAGGTCACCTTCCCAAAGGCAGTTAGCTTGGTGTGCAGTGATGCACACCTTCAGTAAAGATGCCTGAAAGAGATAAGGTAAACCACAAAAGCCCTCAGTAAAGTCTAGGAGATAACAGTTCACTTCTCTGCCTTACGGCTGCGCGGTGCTGTCAAAGAGCCCTGGCACAGCTGCCCCCGCCCTGCCGAGGAGGGGCTGTGGGAGAGCCTGGGCAAGCTGAAACTCCTACTGCAGAACTAGAGAGCAGGCTTTGTTGGGTAGGCTTGGTGCTGCCAAGTCAGGATGGGCAACCCACGCTGTACTTTCATTTGTCTCCACTTAGGTTCTAGCTCACTGGCGTAAAACTGACTCGTAGGAATAAATTAATTCACTTTAATGCCTGTCAGTTGGGGTGGAAGTGTTGCTTTTTGGTTTTTTTTTCCCCACCACCACCATTTCACTTACTTGGACAGTGTAGCTCACGTGGTCCACTTTACCTCGCATACCGCTCCACTGGTGCGCATTCATGCACCGTGACACAACTTTGTTTACCACAGACCAGTAATAAAATGAGGCTTCCCAGACACCAGCCCGTTGCTAAAGATTTTTCAGGCCACTGTCTCGCTATGCTCCATGCAAAAAACAGGGACGCTCACCGAGACAGCCCAGCCTACTTCCAAGCACCAACTGGGCTATGCTTCTAGGCAGAAATGGAAGTGCCCATCATCTAAATTCACATCTGTGCCCCAGCTCAACTCTAAATGCTCAAACTAAAAGCAGCTCAGTCACACTTAAAAACAAGTTAAAAAATCATTTTAGCCAAAAATAAAAGATTTAAGGTGCAAAGCAAGCCAGATCCTCTACCATCACCAATATTGTGAAGTGAGCAGCAGCATGCAGGGTGACGTGTATCTGGAGCCAGGCAGCAGGCCTGTTTTCTTCTTCTCTCAAACCAACAGTTAGTTGAGGTCTTCCTACCTGCCAGTATGTTTACAACTCAGGGAGTTGTGCGTATACGCAGAAGACCAGCTTTTTGAGGTCACAACTGCCTACAAACAGCACTAGGACCAAGGAAGACAACTTCAACCACACGACTGCTTTCATTCTGGGATTGTCAGCAGGCATCAAACATCAGAGACCGTAACCCAGTGGGAGCTCTCAGAGGCAGAACCGCAACACTTGTCACGTCTTAGGCAGAGGAGCGCACAGTATACCTGCATGTCCCCTACGCCACAGCATTGAGATTCTGGTCTAGCCTTTAAAATATAGGAATAAACAAACAAACAAAAAAAACACGGCTGTGATTCTCCTGTGTGCTGAGGCACCTAGTCACCTCCACATGCAGGGAAGCTGAAAGCCTGCAAGACCAGTAAGCTCTAGAACAAATCCCAGGAAGCTGACAGTGTGAAGTGTTAGTGTTATGCCAAGAGTAGGGGGACTGGTCCAGGGAATCCTTCAGCAGCGAGGGCACACGGCGGGCAGGCAAGGCTCTACTTTCTGGCTCTCCAGCTGGCCCTGTGGTGCTGTGACTGCTAAAGGAATGTGGAGAATGGTGGAGGCTCTGCCTTACCTACCGTGGGTCCTCAAGGTGATGAAACCGAATTGGGGAGTCAACCTGCTAACAAGTTAAAAAACAATCTAGAGCTTAAAAAAAACCAAAACCACCCACCCAACCCAATAACAACACTGCCAAGTTGTGCAAGAGCCCCAAACTACTCACAAAAGACCATCAAGCAGCACCCGTGCTAGAGCACTAGAAATGGGTATCATCAACTGTGTGAAGGTGGTGTGGTGGGGAAGGGGGTATTCCAGTGGTAAGTCCGCCCAGCATCCCTGACACTTCCGATACAGTGAAGATGAGAACATGTGGTGGATGAGGTGGACAGGAGGAAAAAGGGATAGTTTCATATATTAACTAATTTTGCAGTTCTCATTACAGCAGCAACAGCGCTGTGGAAGTAAGCCATCTGGGCTAGTGCATCCACCTCCAGCAGCTCTGAATACTGTCAGTGCATTAGACCTTTCCCCAACCGCGCGCAACCCCCCCCCCCTTCAGAGCTACTCCAGCGCAGGCTGCTCGGCATTTGGTACCAACGGAGCCCCGGCGCCTTTCCTTTGCCTTGTCAGGAGGCCAAAGCATGCGTTAGTGCAGATGGGGGAGGATCTGTACAGCCGAGTGGCCTGCAGCCACTCCAGTACTCCAGCTATCACACATCAAACCATCCTTCCCAGAGCGAGAACCTGCTATCGATTCTCCTGCCCCTCCAAGGGAGGAGGCAAGGAACTGCCTTCCTTTCTTCCTTCTTTCCCTTGCCATACCAAGCAGATCAGACTGACTAGGTAGGGACAAATACTTGATGTTCTGCCCCTTACAGCTTTAATCTACCCTCTCCATCCCCATTTTTTTTTGAGATGAACCTGTAAACATGAGGAGAACTCAGTGATCTGAGGTACTTCACATACTCAAGTATCAGTCTTTCCTTTTGAAAGCATCAGTACAGAAAAAAGTCCCCCCCTCCCCGTGTGTATTTCTCTTACCCAGATTGACAGTAGCTACCTTTGCACCACATCGCTGATTTCTTGGACACATGACAATAAGTTATTAAGGACAGGGTTTGCCCCAGGGACACTAGCAGCTGTTGAGGACACCTGCAGTTCCTGCAGGCTGAGTTCCAGTTTGCTCACGGCTTCCCGGAAGGCAAATTTGTTGCGTGTATGCGGGATGCAGTCCACGTAGCCTGAGCAGTAATCCAACAGCTGGTGCCCTGTGTCCACCAGCTGGCTGTTTGGTGTTGGCTCGGTGATGGCACTCGAGAGAAGATCTGCGCACTCCAGCAGTGCTTCCTTGCTGATTTTATCTGCAGAGATTTTCTCAGCTGCCTGTTTGGTCTTTCTTAGCGCTACTTTTGCGCCAGCCGTGCCATTGGCCATTTTCACCGGGGAGGTGGAAGACGATGACAGAGGCACTTGAGGTGGAGGCATGACGGGCCTCCCAGATTTACCACCAACAGGTGCTGCTGCTGTTGCCTTCTTACTCCCGTCGCCTGATTCCAGTCCATGCTGCGCTCCCGCCACGTTGCTCAACTCTTCTGCTGCATCCGAGCAGGCAGCTGGCTGTTGTAGGAGCCTCATCACTGGTGGTGGAGGTGGAGCACACTTTGGTTTTACCCGTCTGGGCCGGTCCCTGTCGCCAGAAGAAGTGACCTGATGCTCAGATAAGAGCTTAAATTTATTACCCTGAGAGTCTGTGCCAATGAGCTGCACGTCTGCTGGAGTGTGTTTTAGAGTGGGTGAGATTAGGACTGGCACTTTGTGGTTATGAGTGGTTGGAAGTATTGCTGCAGCCTTTACTGGAGATGACCAGCCAGGTCTCTCGCCATCCTCAGGGGCCCCTTGCCGTGGCCCACTGTTTTTTTCTTTGCCCTTAGGAGCTGCTGCTAGCCCTGGACCCTCCTTTTTTTCCGATCCGGAGGGTGTTCGGAAAGGGAGGGCTGTGGCACCCCTCGGCAAGAGTTTTGCTTTTGGTCTCTCTCTGGTCAAAGCAGGGCCTTCTTCAAACCTTTTAGGAAGCAGGTCATTGGCCCTCCCTGTGCTCTCATCGGGCTGAGAGGAGGTGGACACTGTCCGTTCCAGCTGGATTTTTGACCTCTGGGAATTTCTGGGAAGGGTCATTGCCATCCTATCCTGCTCTGGAAGCCCTGAGGACATGGAAGATGTAGAGTTTGACCTTGGAAAAGGCTTTGAAGCTTCTTCATTGCCAGTGGGTTTTCCTGCTCGTAAACCCAATGTCTTTTTAATCAAGCGTGGTGTAAAGAAACCAGTGATGCCCGACCACCCACCACCGGTGCTTACGCCCCCACCACTGCTGGTACCAGTGCCATCATCGTTGTAGAAGGTCCTCTGCACAAAGCCCCCACCATAGCACTTGGGTGGCACCAGGCTTGCGTCCTGCTGTGCGGGAGCAAAAGAGAACCCGTCCACATGCTGCAAGGAAGCAACAGATGAAAAGTTACCCGTCAGCTCGTATTTCTTATGGGGCTGATTCTCCATCTCCCGGAAGGAACTGCTGCGCTTGGGAGGTGTGGGAGCATTCCTCTTCTTCATAAAGGAGCTGAAGAAGCCACCTTTTCTGTCCCTGGTGAAAGTGGTCTCTTTGGCATCCTCCAATAGGCTGCTGGGTGACTTGTCCCTCTGCTTGCGAGGCAGTGCGGGAGACCCACTTGTTGGCTGTGTGCTTCTGATAAAACCTAGACAGAAAAAACAAGCGTGACTCTGCAAGACAGATTTCCCTTTCCACCTCCCTACCTATCCTGCTTCATAGGCCTGGCGTATTTAGCTGCCCAGGTTCTGCAGAGATAGACTGAGAGAGGAAGTTAGCACTTTTATTTTTGTGTGAGGCTGGTGCAATTTTGATTTTTTCTTCTTTTTTTTTTTTTTTACTTTTTTCCCACTTCTGCATGTGTGACTTGTCTGTTGTCTACACTGAGAAGGCCACTTAGGAGAGAGTTCAGGGAAAAGTGAAGCTGCTCTTTTCTTCCAGTTTCTTATTCCTTTCCTGTAGTTTTTCCCTCCTTCCCCAAATACCGCAAATATAAAAGAAAATCTCTTGATGCATTGTCAACTTCAGTTTTGAAGCTGTCATTTAGAAAAAAAAAAGCAAAACTGTATTTAAAGTAAAAATATACAATGGGATTTACTAAAAGAATGTTGAACAAGTGGCACTGTTATCTATTTGCTATTTGCTATCTATTATCTATTGGGCTACTGAGGTGGCCAACAGCCCTAATGACAAAGCAGCACAAAGCACCTTCCCATGTCACGTTGTTCTATTTTCTTCTGTTTCTCTGGCGATTTACACCAGCAGCAAGCCTACCCCACAACAGGTGGCCTCACTGCCACTGTCCCAGTGCCCGTACCTGGTGCTGAGCTGGAAGTCGAGTGCTCCACAGTATCTTGTGTTCCTTCAATGTTCTCCTTGTTCTCTGCCTGCTTCTTCAGTGTTCTAGTCTTGGAGGGAAGCATGGGCAACCGGGGCAAGTAAGGAACTATGGACGAGGAGGAGGCTGTTCTTCCAAGCTCCTCTGCTACCTCTGTAAGGAAGAAAAAAAAAAAAACCAAAAAGGGAATAGTTGGAACAGAGACCGGCAGAGGAAGAGGAAAAGAAAACCTGTGTCTTTACTGCAAACCCAGACTGGCAAGAAGAGATACATGACCGAGAAATATGTAGCTTACAGGGTTAGTTTTGGCTCAAGTCTAGAGGTACTCAGGGTAAGATGTTTTCCATAATGCTTTCAAACTCGTTTACATCTTTATAAGCTCAGCAAAAAACCCCAGCAGTAGGATCTGTACAAGAGGTCTAGTATGAATCTAGTGCTCTGCTGGGTTAAGGGTTGCTCAAGAGCTAAAGCCAGCACTGAATGCATATGCCTCTGTTTTTCATTAAGGTGCCTCCTGTTGATGCTTCTGGGATCCCTCCAAAGTTGTGTCCTCTCTGGATCTCCATCTAAGCTGCTTTGCACCTGCCTATTAGAAACAAAGACCGCATGTTTCCTTCCTAACATCAGCACAAGGTATGTGACTGAAAGAAAATCAGAAAAAACCCCACAACTTCCCGGCCACACCCAGGCTGGCATCTGTGTGGGCTACTTGATGTGCCCATTATAGATCCTCCCTGGTAGAATTCAATCTGGTGTGTTTTTTCTGTAGTAGGGAAGTGGATGGATTAGCTTCATATTTAATTTAAAAATTTAGAAGATGCTCAGACATTTCTGCTTGTCTGCTGTCTAATATCACCCTTCTCATCGGTATTCACCTCCTAGTTGATTATATTTGACAGTCGAGTTGCACAGATTCGCTCCTAGAAGTAGCTAAGTAGAAAATCTAGAGATGAAGGCACACTTTTTAAAAGTGAAGGCTGGTAGAATAGTATTTCATGACCTAATTGCTGCAGTCAGCAAGGGACTGTGATATGCATACATCTTTCTCTCTCAGCATCACTCACTGTTCCTTACTTTTCAGTCTTGTAAACAAGAGGCTTCCCCTAATAGAGGGGACAATATTCTTTAAATTAACTCTTTGGCACCTTAGTGCTCAAATTAAACTATACTGTCTGCTGCACTGGTATATGTCTAAAGTCTATTTGTGCAGCAAGTAAGAGAACGTATTTACCCACTTGTGGTTAAGAAAGTACAGGAGGGATGAAGCTTCATCACAACCTCCCCTGCTAGCAGGTGAGCCTTAAGGGCCCGTCCACAAGACAGAGCACTCTGGGGGATAACCTCCAGTACTTTTTTAGAAATAAAGCAACAGGAGCTCTCACCCTCCGAAATGCTCGAGTCGTGGAACATGGTTTCAAAAGCCTGGTGGGTCTCAGCAAAGGAAGGTCGGTCTGGTGGGTTCCACTTCCAGCCTGCAATGCAAGAAAACAGAGTAAGTCTCTGTGCCTGAAACGGGTAGGAGATAAATTTTTGTTCCGTCCAAGGAGACAGAAAATACCTAAGCTTTCTCCTCAACTGTAGTCAGACTCTGATCTCCTACTATTAAACAGGCTTGAGAGTCATTCACAGACATTAATTCATAGCAGCAGTCAGTCACCCTACTGTAGCCTAACAAACAGATCTTGAGAGGAAGGAATCAATTCTAAAAATCCCAGCTCTCTGTCAACTTCACAGGTTTTTCTGATCTCCCTATCCCTCTTTCTGAATTTTTTGGGCAAAGAAGAATTCTGTGTTTGCTATCCTGGCTATTTGGACTGAACACATCTAGCCCAGTCACAGATAACTGTGTGTGCACAGCTCCAGGCAACATTCTGCTCACATGCTCTTTAATACTGAAATTCAGGCAGAGCCTTCCAAAAGGAGAACTTGGGCACCCTGCGGGGAAAAGAGGAAGAGAGTGCATTGATCTAAGATGGAGCTTGGAAAGTTATAGAAGGGGATCATGCCGAAAAGTGTAATTTCTGGAGTTACAAATGTGCACAAGGGGAATGTATTCTGGAAGCACTTATCTGTTGATATCACTGTAGGGTCTGGAAAGTGACTGGCATTCTGCTTGTTTTGGGTTGCGTTAATATCATATGAATTCCTTGCTTTTGGGCTGTTGTCAGCTTCCTGAAGGCTTTTTGAAGCAATCATAATCACCCAGCTTCTTTGTTTCATAACTAAGTTCACCCTGAGTTTCTTTGACGTGCTTGGGGATCAGGCACCACTGGAGACAGGTTGTAGAATGGCCTCTTAAGCCCCGGTTTGTCAGTTTTGCACGTTGAGGACCACACAGGTTGCCTGAGTTAGCACCAAGGAGTCTCTTCCTACCCTGGTCACACTGACAGCGTCTCTCTGCTCAGAGCTGCTTACCTTACTCAACAGCATGGCCTGGTTTGCTCCCTAGGATCTTTAGCCTTTTGCCTTTGCTCTTTAGCCTTTAGTCTTTGCTCTTGTGGGACTGAAGGAGATTGGCAATGCTCTTAAACTCTGTTGCTCTCTTCCTGTAGCACACTGTATCTTTTGGCCTTTTATTAGTAGATTTTTCAATTTGCTATGGAGCATTAGGGACCTCTTCATGGCATGCTTGGAGGATGTGTTTTGTGCAACCTTGTCAGCTGTGTGTCTCCTGCACAGGTGCTGTGTTTGCAGAGAACTAGATTTCCTTCTTATTTGGCGATTCCACAGCAAAAGTCCTACTGACAAAACACCAGTACAATTTGCCACAAAGTGCTATCTGGCTGTACTCGGAGGTGACAGTTTTTGAGAGTGAATTCTTCTTCCCTAGAAACCAGCCTCATTTTGCATCAGTAACCAGATACATCTCAGGTGACGGGGCCATTTCCACTTTAGCTAACAAAATGGCACACAAGAAGCAAGGACTTCAGAGTTAACTACAGATTTCTCCCACCCCTCCCAGGCTTTGTCCCCCAAGCTGGAAGAAGATACTCACATGCCCTCATCAGTTCATAAACCTTTGGAGGGCACCCCTCGGGTTGTTCCATCCGATAGCCCTTTTCCAGCAGATCATACACCTGAGAGAGGTCAATGCCTGGGTATGGTGACATCCCATAGGTAGCAATTTCCCATAACAGCACCCCAAAGGCTGCAAAAGGAGAAAAAACACAATCCCTGGTCATAAGTCTGCTCTCTTCTTGCGTTGCTCGTTACATTGTGGCCTGTACTGCAGCTTGAGGCAGCACCTCTTTCTTGCAGATATTGCAGGCCAGTCTAGCTGAAGATGTAACACAGTAAAATACTATCGATTCCTGAAGCCACGGCCTGGTGTGTGACTGCCTCCTCCCCAAGTGTTTCTGCCCAAACCAGAAAGCAAGTTACTGTCTAGGCTGGCAAAGAAAACCAAAATGAAACAGAACAGACCACTGAAGTGGAGTTTTCTTACCCCAAACGTCTGATTTGATTGAAAAGGTGTTATAGGCCAGGCTCTCAGGAGCAGTCCATTTGATTGGGAACTTGGCTCCAGCATGAGCTGTGTAGGTATCTCCAGTCATAAGTCGACTTAAGCCAAAGTCAGCCACCTTCACCACATGATTTTCTCCAACTAAGCAGTTCCGTGCTGCCAGGTCCCTGTATAAAGGAAAAAAAGCACACTCCTTTACTGGAGCAAGAGCAGGGCTTTTGAATACAGCCTTCTGGCTGCATAGCCTGTCCCTCTCTTCTGAATTGGGAAGCACTCTTTTTATACAGCAGGTAAAGGCAACATGAGCTTTGTTCTAAACAGTGTCATAAATTGAGTGGATTTATTCTTAGGAGCAATAAGGTAAGTCAAGATTAGGGTGCATTCTTTAAATTCTATTAATTTTCCAGTAATGATTACTGTTATGATGAGAACAGGATGAGATCGGCACCTCATCACACACTGGTAACAGCTTTATGACACAGCTTTATCTGACTGGATTAAAATAGGACATTGTTGTTGACAAGGTCTTGCACAAAGGGGTACATCAGAACAGGACAACACCAACTTTCATAGCTGTCAGGCAGTCGGGCACAAGATTGTAAGTCTGGTATGAAAGTCACGGGGAGAAGGAATTGCAAGACAGTATTGAAACCAGAACAGCCAACGGATAGATAACCCAGTGTGAAACCTACATCTGGAAGAAACCTCCCGAAAAGGAGGAATTCCTGGGCCACCATGCTGGTGGCCCGTTCATCATTGCAATCTGAGATTGTACCAGCTCAACGTGATTTTTACCCACCTGTGAATGAAATTCTTCTTCTCCAGGTACTCCATAGCAGAGGAGATCTGGGTGGCCATGTAGAGCAGCACAACAGCACTCACTTCCTCCCGGTTGCATTCCCGTAAATAGTCTAGCAGGTTCCCATAGGGCATGTATTCTGTCACAATGTAAAAGGGTGGCTCCAGGGTACATACACCTAGCGGTGAAGAGGAGGGAGCATGTGAATAAAGCTTCCCTTTCTTCCCTATCTTACCACTATTCCTGATTTAATATCCATTTGTCGCATTTTGTACCGATGAGTGTTTCTCTGAAAAGTGAAGACTTCCAAGACCCAGATCAATGCAGCCCAACTTGAAATTCAGTGCATCTGTCTATTTATCTGTTTATCCGCTGCATGGATAGACAGAAAGATGTCTACCATGGCTATTCCTATATAATATATATAAAGGAGTAGTTCTGTTCTTTGGAGGATTACCTCTAAAGGTCCCTTCCAACCCAAAGCATTCTATGATTCTATAATCTTTTTAGCAAGGCCTGCTGTGACAGGACAAGGGGTAATGGTTTTAAACTAAAGGAGGGTAGATTAGACTGAATATAAGGAAGACTTTTTTTTTACAATGAGGGTGGTGAAACACTGGAACGGGTTGCCCAGAGAGGTAGTTGTGGCCCCATCCCTAGAAACATTCAAGGTCAGGTTGGACAGGGCTCTGAGCAACCTGATCTAGTTAAAGACGTCCCTGCTCACTGCAGGGGGACTGGACTAGATGACCTCTAAAGGTCCCTTCCAACCCAAAGCATTCTACGATTCTGTGATTCTGTAATGAAATAGGAGTTATTTTGAACACATGTGATTTGCTTTTCTTCCCCTCTCCTCCCTCATAAAGCTAAAGAGTGGCCATCTGGAAGTAGGTACCTGTCAAGTGGCAAGATTTCCAGACTGAAATGTCACTACAGAGTAATGTGAAGCACTCCCATGTGTGCTAGCTGGGTAAGTGATCAGCGCAGTGGGACCTGCTCCTAAAGCAGCATTCTCACACATTCCTCAGATGACTACTTGCTACAGTCATTGCAATTATGTACAAAGTATGTATTAGTGGAGGAGGAGAGCAACAGGATACTCATGTCAAATCTCTGCAAACTCCCGCTGCAGCGCTGCTGAATGCCTGTTCATACCGTTATGCACAGGAGTAAAACACAACTCTGCTGTGCATCAGAAAGAGCAAAAATGCATCTCTTTGATGATAAATCTTTTAGTCTCTACTCCTGGAACCAGACAGGGCTGGGCAGACACTTCATCTGTGCCCGTTTTTTAAATGGGTACAGAATAGTTGCCATTATTAAAAGCCTTCACATTCTTCAGATTTCTCCTTTCATCCTAGGCTTGGCTTGACAGCTTTGCTCCTGAAAGCAGCAAAAGTCCAGAGGCAATTAAACACTAGTAAAGGTTTAGGGTGTCTCCTTAAGAATCTTTGTACATGTAGAATTAACAGCTATGCAGACTATTTAGTAGCGATCATCATGTCGTGCATTTGCCAGTGAGACAAACAGGGCAGCCAAGCTGTAAAGCCTGCAGATTTCTTCCATTCACGTGCCGTTTGATCTGACTTGCATCCCCACTGCCTTGATCTCATGTACTTATTTGGCGATACACAGGGTCCCTTATAGCAGCAGTGATCTGGTTGTCTTCTGCTTCGTTCTAGACTGATTTGTTTTATTTAGTGCAGCTTTTTCTACAAATGTCTCTGATTTGAGAAGTATGAAGAATGGTATTTGTTGTGCTTCCAATCTATTTTTTTCTTTAACTTTGAATTTTCTTATGGTTTTATTCTGTTCTATCAGAAAAATAAGACACGGAAAATAATTTTGTAAATCTGATATAACGCAGCAGGAAAGGAACCTGGCCCTGATAACTGAACCCTGGAGCACGTCTAAGGCCAAGGGTACAAACTAACAGGAGGCTGATATTACAAACTTTTATATAATGCATAGTCATGCCTCAACAGCAAAGCCCTCTACTGATGTTGGTGACTATATTTGATGTTTTATTTAAAATTAGTGTCTCTTAGCTCCAGTACTGCATAAAGGAATAAGCCGCCAAAAGTACCGCCCCATAACCTGACATGATTCAAAAAGTTATATAAATACATAAATCTGCCACTGCTTTTAAACAAGACAGATTTCACTTTGGCGGAAACTCAAGTAAGGACAGAAAGAATGAGGTATTTCACTAACCTAACAACTGCACTAGATTTGGGTGCTTGATCTCCTTCATCACAGCAGCTTCTTTCAAGAACTCTTCCACCTCCATGGTATCTTCCTAGATACAGAGAGAGGCAAAAGAAGGGAAAATTTATCTTCATGACCAAGGTCTACTTAACACCACATATCCAAGCTGAATACAAATGATAGCATCCTTATCTGCATTCTGTTGTTTTGGCTTTTACCAAAGCAAAACATAACAGGCCTGAAAAGCTGCCTGGCTGGCCTGCAGCATGGCCAAGCAACAGACCTGCAGTACCCAGAAGCGCTAGGCATTCCTTTTAGCAGTTGTGGCTGGGGAGGGGAAGGCTCTCAGGATCACTGACTTAGTTCCCCTGCCTGGCTATAAAAATTAAGCTTGAAAGCTGCTTCACTTAGGGGGTATGTAGAATTGTAGCTGTTAATGTTGAAACAAACAGACGGCTTTGAAAAGAAAGATAAACAGAGAAGCTGAATTTTTCCAGGAGTAGGGTAGATGTCGTAGAGGGTATTTCCAGCACCTTTCATTCCTTAAAGCTTCCACAGCTCTTCTGAGGGAAAGGAAGCAGACTTGGTAACCATTTCCCTAGATCTGACTTGGTTACGCAGTTCCTGCAAGAGCTTGCTGGGCCAAAATTCTGAATTGCTTCTAAGCCACATGCACTGGTGCAAGTTTGGTTAAGTTGTGTTCTGCAAAGCTACTCCCAAGCCTAGATTTTACACAGATCAGCACACTCCATTTTCTGATACTCATGACTGAGGAACATTACAATTTCCTTACCCTTATCATAAATGGTAACCAAATGAACAGGGCACAACAATCTGAAAACTCACCTTTAATGTTTTCACAGCAACCGTAAGATTGTATTTCTTCCAGACACCAACGTACACCTCGCCATACTGCCCTCCCCCAAGTTTGTGCTTCATGGTGATATCAGTCCGCTCCATCTCCCACTTGTCGTGGATGGGGGACACTCCATAGACAGTGGGCTTATTGCACTTGGGTGCTGGGTAATGCAAAGTTGTCACCAGTCCATCTGCTACTGTTGAGTGATGGTGCACTAGCTCTGCTAGTGTGCTGAAACGGCTTTCTGCTGTCACATATACCTGTTAAGAACAAACCAGGAATCTACTTAAATGAGGGCAGCTGGAAGCTTTCAGTAACACTGGAAAACAGGTAGAGTAAAAACATTCTAGCAGGTTTAGAAGAAAAAAAAAATGGTTTAGGAACCAGACTTTAGAGTATTTGTTCTCATGTTATTGGGCAAATTAATATTAATCTGTGGGATTTTCACCTGCAGAAGGCAGCTAGATATAAGCTATCACTTGAGAGCAGTGCTGTCTCCTGCCTCCTGCTTTACAGGACTAGAAACTAGAATTCTTGTAGCCAAATGCAAGGCCAGTTTCTGCATCACTCAAGACATTGTACTGCTCTTTGATCAAGGTTTCAAAATGCTGATCAAAACTGCTGGCTTATTGAAGCTCTGCTTGTTCTAAGTGGACCAACGGGAAGATATCACCACATCAGACCAAAACTGCTTTGCTCCCTAGCTGCTTTTAGCCAGGATAAGTACTGTCTGCACTTCTTCCACAGTGGTTTTCGTTGAGTTACCACCAAACTCTTGGCATACGTGTTCTTTTCTTATTATCAACCAGTGGACTTGTTTTCTCTCACAAAGACTTAACAGTCTGCAACTTGAGATTCTGTACCACCTCTTAATTAACATCCTTATTTTCTCTCCCCACAGCATTATCTGGAGATCCTTACCTTTCCATCTGAGGTGGTATTAATCCTGTAGTGGTAAACACGTCCTTCGTACCTGAGCGAGATGGATAGCTGCCCTGGGCTGCTCTCGCTTTCACGAACCAGGAAGCTGCCATTGATGAGACTGCTCAACAGATACTCGGCTGCACTGCGTGACACTGGCCCATGGTACCATGAATGCTTTTCCAGGCTGTTCACTGGTGTGATGTAGTTGCTTGGTACCCAGCCCTGCCCATTCTTCGAACGTACCTCACTCCATTCACCATTCTGGTTGTAACCCAGGACTCGCAATTTCTCACCTATGACCAGAAAGAAAAAAGCAAAATAAACACAGTGCAATCTATTGGCTCTCATCAAGGGAGATGCTCATCACCAGCTGACTAAGCCTGGGTTTGTAGCTCAACAATAAAAATTCGTGGCAGTGATCTTATAACTAAACTGCTATATATAAAGTATTTTATGAAGTAAATTTTCAGACACAATACCTAGGATACTGTTCCCTAATTTACTGTAGTGTGACTGATGTCATCCTTCCTGTAGTCCAGCTTTTTAGACTAGAAAGACCTTTTTTTCTTGGAGGAATGAGCTTTGTCTCCTTGAAGCCTTAAACAGCATGTGATTTAAAACAGTTCTGCAGCAGGTCATATTCTGATGCATGTACAGAACAGAAATAGAGAATCTCTGTGCTATTCTTAATTCTTGATATTGCCCCAGTTGAAAGTGCCGAATTTTGTTATCATCAATAATGTCAAGGTTTTCCTCCGTCCCTCCCTAAAATACGTGTCTCGACAGGCTAGTGATTTGGGCAGCCTAGAACAGGACTAGCTGGGCTAGACTGTTTGGCAGTGTTATACAAAGCTGCGTCTGTACTAGAAGTGCCCGGCAGGTGTCTCTCCAGCACAAGCGAGAGACAGACAGTCTGCTTATAATCATCACTTTAAAGAACAACCTTCTCTAACTGCACTCATTCCTATTCCTACCTGGACAAGGATTCCACTTTCTATTTTCTGTTGCTGAGTTTTCAATCTAGTAGCTGCTCTGCGATTCAGAGCCTTACCTTTGGTGATGCTGAGCGTGTTGTCACCGCTTGCTACAAAATCGTAAAGTGCAACAAAGAGATTGGGATCGCTCTCAGTGGCTCCAAGCAGGTTCTCCTTGGAGCTCCATCTGATGGCTTCATTCAGTGCCTGGGGTTCAACATCGCAACCATAGGGGCGGTGCAGGGCCTCTGAAGAAAGAACAGAAGAGGAAATGACTTTGTGTACAATTGTAAGTAGATCAAAACCCAGTGTACAGCAGAGCGAAGCTCCTACTGCACAATATGCACTTTACAGAAAGAGAACACCAAGTCTGCACATCTTAGATCAGTGGTTTTCAATACCCACTTTGCTGACTCCTCATTCTACAGTTTACTTCTAAAGGGGGCTGGAGAAGGTCATTAACTTCCTACATGCCAAGTAGCAAGCCATATATATAGAATTTTCTATTTATTATATATTTCTATTTCTATACACCTCTATTTCAAAGTATTTAGGCATTCACAGATAGAAAAATAGAGGAGAAATGTAAAGCCTCCCCCCCTTTTTTTTTTACTGTGAAGTAATGAAGGAAACCTTTCGATGCCAAAATGTTATATTTTATGTCTTTATTGTTCCTGTGCCTGAAGTAGGTAGCCTGGATCTGAAACCGACATTACAAATACAGGTAAGACAGACTGAATTATCACACAAATGAGATCTATAGGTCGGGACAGTAACTGATTCAGTATTAGCAGG